CCTGGCCCCCAAGATCCTTTCTAGGCGGGCGGACGCGGGCTTTGTTGACCGCGGGTCGCGGGGCTCCCGATACCTTACCTTCCTCGCTCAGCCCTCAGGCCTCCCGCTCCTTGGACACGCCGCTTAGGCGCCCGGAGCTCTTTGTCCGAGACAAAGCGATTTAGCCCTGGCCTCTCGACCAGGAGCCCTTGTTGGCCCCCGAACCCCTCCCCAAAGCCCGGTTGAGAGACTCCAAAGGAGGCAAGCACTCACTGCCCGCCGACCTGCACCCCAGCAGCCCGAGCCTTCGAGAGGAGACTCCGGTCCCAGTAACTGAGCACCCCCGCCCCCCGCATCATATGGGAGGTCAGACTGGCCACCCAGCCTTGCCAGGAAACAAAGCTTCCCCACTGAGGACGGGGTGGGGGATGAGGGAAGAAGGGAGGGGAGGCGCCTGCTGGACCGTGGCGGGGAACCCAAGAGGTCTGACACCCAACTCTGGGCTTGTCCTCAGCAGGAGAGCTGGGAAGCTTGGTCGGGCACCCCACCCCAGCCTTTTGGGGGTTCGGTCCTTCCTGGGACACTCAAGGACGAGAGCACCGTCTCCTACCGGATCAGAGGGGGCTCTGGCCTTAAGGCTGCTCTCTGCCCTTTCGGTCTAGGCTGAAGAGGGCCTCCCAGCAGCCAGCCTGCATGGTGCTGGGGGTGGAGGTTGAGGGTGGAAGGAGGGCCCTCAGGGTGGGCAAGGCAGTGGTGTCCTTGATGCGGGGGCCAGATTATCCAGCTTTCACCTCATCCTGAGGGTACCTCTGAGAAGAGCATCCACCTCAGCCAGTACCTTCTCTCTTGGTTCCAGATTCATGGAAGACCCCAGAATCCGAGTTCTGGGGCCTGGAAACTGGGGGCATGATCACAAGTGTCTTCTGGTCTCAAGCCTTCCTCTTTCTGGCTGGGTTTTCCTAGGGTTTACTGAAAATTAGCTGGAAGTGGTCCCGTGGAAGTGGACTGGGCATGGCCAGAAGCAGCAGCCTGGTCTGAACCCTGGCTGCTGGAGCCCTTCAAGTGGATGGCTGCGATGGCTCCAGGGTAGGGCTAGGGCTCAGTGAGGATGGGCAGGGGAGACCTACAGGACTTTGTGGGGAGAGGCTGACAGCCTTGAGCCAGCAATGCTGTGGACTAGGGTCAGCAAACTTCTTCTGTAACGGGCCAGGTAATATCTACAGGTTTGTGGACCACAGAGTATCTGTCACACCTGTGCAGTCCCGGACCAGACATTCATGGGCACGATTGTATTCCATTGGTACTTCAACTGTAGACACTGGACTGTGAATTTCATAAAATGTTTACAAATCATGACATATTATTTTGATTATTTTTCAACCAATATGAAACATCTATTCAGAAGGCTGAAGTAGGAGGATCATGTTTGAGAACAGGCTGGTCAACTTAGCAAGACTCCATCTCAAAAATAATAGTAGGGCGTGGTGGCCTATAATCCCAGCACTCGAGGCGCTGATTTGAGAACAGGCTGGTCAACTTAGCAAGACTCCATCTCAAAAATAATAGTAGGGCGTGGTGGCCTATAATCCCAGCACTCGGGAGGCTGAGGCAGGAGGATCGCTGTGAATTCGAGACCAGCCTGGGCTACATAGTGAGTTCCAGGTCAGTCTCAATTACATAGTGAGACCCTGCCTCAAGAAACCAAACCAAAACAAAAAGAAAGAAAGAAAGAAAGGGCTCGGGAATACTGCTCAATGGTAGAGAGTTCCTGAGTTTGATCCACAATACTACAAAAAATAAAACAGCAGAAAAAAATCTGTGGCTCCAGGCTGTATAGTCAGGCAGAAGGCTGGACTTGGTTTGTCAGCCTTTTTATGAACTACTTAATAGTAGTTTAATCTTTAACCAACAGAATCCTGAATGTTCAGGATATCAATTTTTAAAAAATGAATAATATAATGGGCCGGGGTGTAGGTCAGTGGTGCTGTGCCTGCCTTTCGAGCACAAGGTTCTGAGTTCAACCCACATAAGATTCTATAACCTCTCAGCCTCATAGAGTACTAGGTTTTAAATTCTCAGCTTTGTTCTCTTGACCTCAGACTCTGGAAAGAGCCAGAGCTAGGGCTGGAGCTCTGGCCACCAGTGTGTGTGTGTGTGTGTGTGTGTGAACGCTGGGCACATAGCAGGCTGATGGATGGAAAAGGCCTGCAGAGTCTTATCACTTATATCATTCTATACCCTGCTCTTTTGCTCCTTTTGTTTCTGCTCCACTGAGGCAAGATCATCATCTCTGATGACCATGCAAAATCCCGGTAGTGACACCCGCTTTCTGCCGAACTCCTTCCTGGCCATTTGATGGAATTCTTAGAAGTAGTTTTATGGCTGCCAAGCTTTGGAATCTAATGCCACAGGTCTGTGCTGCTGAAGTTTGCCTACAAAAAAGCTGGCCTTGCTTGGTGTCACTTTGTTCACCTACTTGGAGTACTGCCAGATATGACTGGAACTGCGGTCACCCGTTTCTTCCTTGCCCTTTGTCTGTATGGCCCGTCCATCAGCAAGTCCTGCCCACCTCACTCCCAGTTACTGTCAAATTCTATCTCTCTTCACCTGCTCCGATAATACTGGCTCGGAGCCTCTCGTCTCACCTGGACAAT